ACCCAGCCAATTAGCTAAAACTGTAAAAAACAAGCAGTTAAATACCTGACTATACTTGCAGTGAAACTATTGCAGCATAAGTAGCTATGGAAGGAGAGAAGCCGGAGGAGGGGAAGGATCATGGAGACGCACTGTTGCAGCTGGAGTTGAAACGGCGCAGACAAGGAGCAGCGGACTGTGGGAAGAGGACGTGCAGGTGGCGAGAAAGCATGACGTCGTCCCCCTTCCCCCTCCTCTCGTGGCCGCTGACCCGTCACCAGCCAGCAGTCTTGTTGCTGCTTCCCTCACCTCCGTCTTCCTCAACCTCAACTGCTTGGGCTCAGCTCCAGATCCTCCGCCGCGACCTGGCGCCACGGCCAACGGGAGAGTAACAGAGAATGAGGCCGGCGGGACGAGGAAGAGAAGGGGCGAGGATCACATCGAACCGCCACGCGCAGGCCTCGACCGGCGGTGACCCTCTCCCATCCGACGCCGCGCCTCCTTCTCCTCTTTCCTCTCTCTCTTTCTCCCTCCTCTCCTTCATTCTTCTCCCTCTCATCTTCTCTCTCTCTGCCGTCGCCTCGCCCTTGCCCTTTGCTTGTAGGTCGCCGCTGCCGCAGGCCGGCGGGGGAAGCTCGTCCGCGCCCGCACACCTCGGATCGGGCGCTAGTTCCAAGAGGAGGCGGATCCACCGCTCCTCTCCGCTGGGCTGACGAGGAGGGAAATCCGGCAGGTTGGGGTGCCGCCATGGAAGGAGCCTGCCTCCCGAGCTGTCGTCTCCTCGTCCACGTCACGTGGTCTGGCCGTTCTAGTCAGGTGCGGAGGCACGGGAGGGGGAGAGGAAGGGGAGGAGGAGGTGGTGGAGGCGGAGGCGGAGGAGACGAGGCGGCCCAGAGGGAGGGTGGAAGCGGCGGCGACGGCGGCGCGAGGAGAGGAGGCGGCTAGGATGGAGTGGCGGCAGCGAAGAAAGGAAAGCACGAGGGAGAGGAAAGGGAAAAGAGAGCGCTCGGGACATTCATAGATGCAAAAAAGGAGACGTGGCTGGTGCGGCTAGTTGGGCGCACTAGCTCGTGCGGCTCCTCATGATTTCTTTGAATTTTTCTGTAGGAGCTCGATAAAAAATCACCTAAGAAAAATATGTCATTCTTCTCTACAATGGTTGCATGTGGAATTTGAGAAGAATCTATGCACCAGCATCCGGCTCCTTGATGTTGCTTTGATCATATTGTGTAAATATATTTCTAATAAAGCAATTGCCCGATAGTGTACATGTTAGAAATAACAAGATGTTTATCAAGTGTGAGAGATGACAACATCATGATGGGATGGTATGTACTGTTGTGCTCATCAATAGGTTAGTCTTTCATTCACTTGCAACAGTATGTTTTCTGTTATGCAAACAATTGGGAAATATCTAATTTCTATGTACGTCCAAATATAAGTGGTCGTTGTTAACACTGAATTTGGATTTGTTAACGGTCGCTGCATTTGGTCTATCCCGAGCCTCTGGCTGTGGATCATGTTCTTTTGATATCCGCTTGTCACGATATGTTATCTCTGGTTGTGGTTGTGGCTGGACTTCTGGTATGTGTTACCTCTGAGTTTTTTTTCTCTGGACTAATTAGGGCCTGCTTCTGTTTGCTCTAACTGATATAATGGTTGTGGCATGCAGCAGCCAAGCCAACAACAGAGCCAGGCTTAGGCCTCATGACGACTTGACAAACATGGTCAAGATGCTGAAGATGAGGAATCTGAAGATACTGTTATATCATTTTTTTTATGTCGTCCATTGCTATGTATCCGTATAAACTTGCTTCAGCCATTATTGTCAATTGGCCGGCAAAAGGATTGCATATCTCTAGCCATACAGAATAAGCGGACGAGATGATGTGCATTCATTTGGTGGCACAAAATCAATTTCCTTTGCCAACTAATAGTACATACATTAAGAAAATTACTACAGTTGGTAGCTCTTCACTGCATGTTTTGAAATGTTTCGTGCCCTTGTCCCATTGAGTCACTTATAAGGTTGCTACAGCATGCTAAGTAAGCATCCAATTATTTACCCTATTTTTTGTATCAATCTGAGAAAGACAAGAACGATGGCTGGAAGGCAGGGCGTTGTTGGATGGAAGGGAGAGTGAGAGAGACAGGAGGGGCATGAGGTGACAAGTTCAGTGGGGTTGCCGACGAGGTTTGAGGGAGGCATGCCGCCATTGAGATTTTTATATCCGCTGGCATGCGCGCTTGCTTGCTGATGTGCGCGTGTGGCTGTTGCTGCTGTGCATGTGTGCCACGAACATCATGATATTCTTCATTTTCTTAATTCCTTGATTTGAAAAATAATTTGCTCTGCGTGTGTAGGAACATAGCAGTCGGGCAAACGACGCTCGACACTTTGGCATCTTGATCGATCAGGGAAATAATTTCTTTACTTTGGAAAATGTGGGTTCGAATTGGTCTGTTGAGTTATGGCTGGCTGATCGGAATATTTTTTCTATTTAAAAATGTAGCAAATAGCATTTCGTTAGAGATTGGTCTGTTGAGTTATGGCTGGCTGATCGGAATAATTTTCCTATTTAAAAAATGTAGCAAATAGTATTCATTAGAGATCGCTTTGCAGCAAATTGCAAATCACGCAAACCAAGCCATCGCCGCCTCGTCGCTCTTGCCGGGAGCGACAACAACCGCCAGTCTCTTCTTCGCCTTCTTAGCCGGCATCTCCCCCGTCCGGATGCCCTGCGGCACGAGCCACGCCACCGCCTGGGACTCGACCTCCGGGAAGTTTAGGTCCGTCTTTGGCCGTTCGGCATGCCACACCGCCCGCCGTAGGCACACGCGGCCTCATCGGCAGTGGGATACGTGTCGAGCCACCAACGCTGCCCGGCGTCGGAGAACTCCAGTCCGAAGTTCCTGGAGGGCTTCGCCCTCATGCCGAAGAAACCGGACTTGCCCTTCGGTGTCTTCTTCGGCGCCATCGGGGAGCGGGTTGCGGCCGAGCGGGGAGCGGGGCGGCCACGTGCGGCGCGGGGCGGAGGCGGACGGAGTGGGGCGGCGGCGTGCGGCGCGGGGCAGAGGCGGACGGAGCAGGGCGGCGGACGGACCGGAGGGGAGGCGGATGGAGCGGGGCTGGGCGGAGGACGGACCGGAGGCGGAGGCGGCCGGAGAGGAGGCGGGCGAGGTCGGGGCGGGGCGGAGACGGCCGGAGCGGAGGCGAACGCAATGGGGCAGCGCGGCGGCAGGCGGCGGCCTAGGCGGGGTGGAATCAATGGCGGGGGTCTGGATCTACGGCGGGGCGAGCCCTTAGAAAGTTAACATGTAACTCTTGCAAACTATTTCAAGAGTCCGTGGCAACGCACTGGCACTCTACTAGTCTTTATAATAGATCTGTTATTTTCTAAAGAAAATTGTTGTGGTCTGGCCGTACAAGAATATACACGGGAGTCATAATGAACTTCCACTAAAAGACCTCAAGTTGATCGCTACAAAACAAATAATAATGGGAAATGATTTCGGACAAGTTAGACAACATACACTAGATGGAAAATTAACATTATTCAGAGTTCTGATGCTCTCTACAAGGAATTTAATGACACAATAACAGTCAGTTCAAACAGAATTCATTTAGGTTGTTGAACATGAGAATTGTATGTTTAGACAAATAGTTTTAGAAACTAGTTACCTTGGAATGCAGATCATTAGCTGCCTTATTTTCAGTATGATATTTGAACCACATCATAGTTTTTCTATACTTTAGCTTCAGCCCCAATTCCTATAAGAGATCTGTAAAAGTGATCGACTAATTTCATGTTAACGAAAACAGAAAAGAAATCGCAACATAAATGTGTAGGTGTTCCGTGGAAATGTAGCAGGGCCATGAGGAAATGGATGTAGCAGCTGGCATCGTGTCATTTGGAGATCGTGGTCACCCGTGATTGTTGTGATGGAGCAAAATATCAGGAATCAGCTGTGATTTTTGGTTGGACGTGGGTAACTTCCTTTTTGCGGGGAGGATAACTTCCTTTAATAAATTTTATTTAAAACATAAATTATTCATTTACATGGATAATTACTTACAATGAATTGAGCATTCCTAACTATTGGTACAGACGGTTTGGTAGTCCATCTGATAATGTTTTTCTTTAAAGATGTTCGAACTCAGTTGTCCTTCCATAGTTCCAACTTACATAAACAATGAATAATCATTACATCAAACCAAGTTGGAATTACATCAAACCAAGAGGCTCTGGCGAGGAATGAGCATACAACAAGTTGGAATGTTCTTCTTGTAATAATCTTTGTTTGTGTATGCGCATAGAGGCTTGCCTCCCAATCAAGTGTGTGATATGCATTGTTGAACACACTCAAGTGCCGCTTCTGGCAAGGGAAAAGGTGTGCACAAGACAGGACATTAAAAATGTGATGCTACTGCACATGGTAATAACATCATAACTCCATATGCAATGAATGGAATGGGGCTCCACCCACTGATCAACCTAGTTGAAATTCCGAATTTCAAATCAGCGTACATGTAAAATACAGTATTACACAGGAACAATAAGAAGCCAAATGCCCTACTCAATGAGCTAGCTCAAAAATTTCCTAGCAGTAGATGTTCATATTCGTACATGCCAAACCAGAGAAGCCAAAACCCTCTTTGTACGAAAAACAACCATTGTAGCATTTTTTTTCAAGGACAGGTGTACTTACCGTTATTTCTAGTTTAATTAGTTAACAGTCACAAGCCACTCAACTTGCGAACATAGACTTTAGCACAAGTCCAGCAAACCCAAACCTCAGTGATTTGTGAGAATCCGTACTTCAAGGTACCTACAGGTTCATAAGAATCCGAATTGTTGCAGCTAGTAAAGCAACAGCTCTCTCAGCCATGGTCGATGCAGCAAGGCAATTCAGGATCGACTCAACAATAGGGAAAATAAAGAAACCGGAAATGTCTAAATTTTACTTCTCCAAGGAACAATCTGTGTAAACTAGCTTGCAGGAAAACATGTTCTATTCTTCTAGTGAGCTTCTAATAAATTCATTTTTTCAGGGAGTTCTCCCAACCAGCAGGGAGTGTATGGGAAAGACTCTTTTACATATTGATGGTAGTAATCGGATTCTGAGTCAGTATAGAATTTCGGGAAAACCTTGCCCAAATCTTGAAGCTTCGAGCTACTCCAGTTATAAGCAAGCACTCTGTCGAATTTATCACTCAAGAAGACAACCTCTTTGTAAGGATGAAATCCAAGGAAAATGATACAACAGTCATTGCTCCTATCACCAGGTTCGAGAACATCATCATTGTCAGAATCCCACACAAATTTCTGTTCCACGGTTGCTTCCTTGTTGTACACAATGGGAGAATCATCATCAGCATCTTCATTTCCCCAATAACGAAATTCTTGTAAGATCCAAGGTCCATCACGTTGTTTGTCGTAGTTCAGATTTGGAAGGATGGAGAAGATATCTCTGTCATGCTTCAACACCCACTTTGTCTGACCATGAACACATGGGTCGTTTAGGAACCAAACCTGAAGTTGGAAACCCTGAAATAACGATGCACAGTATATCCCATTGACTGATTTTCCTAGATAAAATTCTGCATCTTCTGTGGGTAATTCAATTGCTTGGTACGTACTGTTTGACAGTGATATTCTGCAATAATAATAGTAGGATAATTAAACAATCTTATACCATGGTGCTCAAAGGCAGAACCAGAATGAATGGGTGACCGTGTCTGTATAAGAAGTTACCTCATAACAAAACAATTGGAGCAACATATATAGAGTGCTCCTCGCCAGTAGGCAGAGTGATGTTTGAAAAAAATTCGCAGTGATCCAACCATGCCAGGCAACATCCCTGCAGCCGCCCCTTGCCGACCAAATGTCCTCTCCTCCCACGATTCAGACTTTGATGAAAACACAGGTAGGATCAATGTGGATGGCGGCCATTCAGCTTCCTCCTCACATTCGTGGTTGTTCTTGAAAGGGACATCGGGCACTATGAGCACTTCAAAATAGTTGGGCGACAGAGTGGGGTCAAACACGAGGTGCTCACAGCGTGGACCATATGTCCTGGTAGTTGAGGAAGATGCCACCAAACGAGCGTGGGAGGAGGTCCGCCCGCAGCAGCCCGCGGTCGTCGATGACGCGGCGCCATGCCTTGCAGACGCAGCGGGAAGCGGCGAGGCCGCATGGTGCGAGGAGGCGGAGGACGCCCGCGAGCACGTCGTCCGGCACCATTGTGGGGAGATCTGGGATCTGGGCAGCCAGCTAGATCTGGATCTGGAGGATGGAGGGGAACGCTCATCTACATGCTAAACATGACAAGCTTAACGAGGTCAGCAGTCTACACACAGTTGTTATATTTTCATTTTCTAGACCCTACTAGTAAATATATACTACTGATATTACGCAGTATTAGTTGTATGCATTTATTAGCCAGGATATATATGTGATTTGCTCGTATCCTACTTAATATATGAGATTTGTGTATCATTCCTAATATATTTGTGTTATTAATATATTAATTGCACACATATATTACTCCCCCGTTGCAAAATATAAGGTGCATAAATTTTAGCAAAAGTCAAACACTCTTACATTTGACCATAATTATATAATAAAAATATCTACATATGCAATACTAATAGACAAAATATGAAAAAACTTCTAATGATTGATCAAATGATAGAAAATTAGAAGTCCTGCCAAGAACTCAGTTTGTTTCTCTTTTCCGATAAGCACAGTTGTGCATCCACAAAAAGCAAACCTATGCCTCTCGTGGAAGAAGAAAAAACATGTATTTTTCCCTTTCCAAGAGGCACACTCGGGGAAGAAAAAACATTCCTGCCATTTCAAGAGGCACAGCGGAAGTAAACCCGTGCATCTACAAGAAGCAAACATGTGCCCCTTGTGGAGAAAAAAATGCGTTTTTTTTCCTTTTCGTGCCTCTTACGTAAGCAAATTTGTGCCTGTACAAGAAGTAAGTTTTTACCTCTCATGGAGGCAAAAAAAACATGTTTTTCACGCAACTTTTTAAAAACAAGTTTCTCCAAAATCAAGGGAAAAGTGGGGCGAAACCCGAAAAGCCAAAAAACCTGGGAAAAACCATCTTAACTGCAAGAACGCGTACATTAAAATAAAAAGCAAAATTTTGTGGGAGCACTCAGCACACGAAGAGTTGTGGCGGCATACAGCGACCCACTTGGCACACTCTTAGTCCACCAAAAGTGATCGTTGAGGGGCTTCCGCAAGGGGTGCCCCTTAGTTAGATCTCTTGAAAATCCTATATGCCGCACATTGTGGCAAAGATTTGTGTTTTCACATACAAGATTGAGCCGAGCGCGAGAGACAGGCCAGCCCATTTCGACCGTAAATAAAAGTGGGAGCCAACCGGTTTTAGGAAACTACAAGAAGGTTCCTAAAGCTGATTTTTTCCCTTCTTTTTTAAAACGTTTTTCCTCACTTGTTTACTTTACAGGTATTCTTGTTAGTTTTTTATTTTTATTTTTATATTTTTTTCTAGTTAGCTTTATGTTCTTCTGTTTTTCTATTATTTCCCTTTAAAAAATCAATTTTTTTCCAAAAAATAGCAATTTCAAACTTTGTTTGTATTTTCAAAAGAAATGCTTGTTTTTGTAATACTATTGGAAATTTAAAAAAATCTTCACTTTTTAAAAATGGTTACCATTTGAAAATTTTATTCCAAAACTGGCCCAATTTTTCGAAGCATGTTCAAATGTTTAGAACTTATTCCCTTTTTCAAACTTTGATCTCAAATTGAAAAATGTTTGCATTTCTGAAAAATATTGGAGAATTACAAGAAATGTTCATGTATTTAAATTATCCATATTTTAAAAAAATCTTCTTGGTTTCTAATTTTATCCACAAAAGTCAAAATATGTTTGTAAATTTTAAAAATGTTCACGCTTTCAATTTTGCTTGAAGTTTCAAACAATGCACATGTTCTTCAAAACATAACAGATCCCCAAAATAATTGTGTTTTCCAGTTTTCTTCGGTGTTGTGTTACAAATTTGTTTAAGTTTTCATAAATAACTCGTGTTTAAAAAAAACCGAAGATTCAAAAAGTGGTCATGCTTTCAAGAAATATTGAAGATTTATCAAAAAATGTTCGAGTTTCTAAATCAATTATGCAAAATTTAGAAAAGGTTCGTGTTTCAAAAAGTATTCACTTTTCTTTGGAAAAAAATATGTTTATGAAATTTTCAAAATTGTTTCAGATCTGTCGCGCACTAATGATTCTTAAAGTAATGCATTGCTATTTTTTCGCTAAACATCCCCAGCCCATGTGGTGATAGGCGCACGATCACAACCGGGAGTCGCGAGAGGCCAATTCCTATTTGGCGCCTTCTACGCCAGTTAATGTGTATTTTCCTAACTGGCACATACCCTCTGCTCCACCTTGGGCTCGACCCAGTTTCGTTAATTTCTCGACCGAAGCGGCTCTCCTTCTCTATCTGTTTCCTCGACCACGGTGGCGTCTGGTCTTCTCTGTCTTTTTCTTCCGCCTTCATCACACTCCCTTTCTTCTCCTCCTCTTGTTCTCTCCTAGCGATTGCAACCCTAATCCGAGCAGTAGGCAGTAGATCAATTAATTCGTGCATCCGCTTTCTGTAGATTCAAGCTTACGAAGGGTCTTCATGACTTTTGAAGGTCTGTGCTCATCTCCCTTTTGTTCTCTATCTCTATTTGAATCCATGAATGCTTCTCTTTGATACCTTAGTCTATCTGTTAGGTTCGCTCATATTTGTATAATTGGAGGTTTATCTAGTAGTAGTTGTGTTCTGTTTTTTGTTAGGGTTTCTGTGCTGTTGTGAGTTAGTGTTTCATCATTTCCATAGTATTTCTAATGGTAGGACTCTAGGTTAGTGTCCATCTTGCTGTGCTTCTGCTAGTAGAGCTCACTTATTATAGATTTTTCACTAGTGTGATAAGTTTTTGCTCGGGACTGTAAGGAGTCTACGTTTTCTCTAACAGGGTGTTAATTACTAGTCATTTTTTAGGTCATTTAGTTGGAGTCATTGGTTCTGTAGGTATGTTTTGATATGCTGCATATCAGGGATTCTTTTAGTAGTTTGGCCAATTTTTTTTATGTGGGGAAAGAGCCACCATTTTGTGTATATAAGAAGTATGCACAATTTCCAGTTGTAGGTATGTGTTTTTTTGCTTTTTTTAGTAGGGTACTCCAGTAAAAACACAACATTGGCTAATTAATTTAGTTTCCAGGTTTTTTCTTTGTGATAGTTTTAATTGTTTTTGTCCAGTAACTAGTGGATTGGATCTTCATCATCCAGATGACTAACTAATGCTGAATTTATTGGGCTGTTTCATCTCGTTGTCTGCTTTGAGCACATTTGCAAACATTCCTTTTGTTACATTAAAACTACATGCCTAGAGTCATCATTGTTTTTATTGTTTTTTATTTTTGTTCTTGAGTGTTTGTGCTTAGGTTATTTATTATTTAGTAGAAGGTGTACTTTTTTGTAACTGGATTTTGTTTTAGAGACAACATTAAAGGTTTGTATAGCATTAGTTGAAGGGGCAGTGCAGCTGATTCATTTTTTAAATGACATGAGCGAAGAACATACCAACCACATGAACTATTAGTTGAAGGGGGTACTGCAACTTTGTATATACCTTCTCATCGTGGCATTGAGTTTTTCCGGTTAGGGTTTTGTTAGTATGACCAGATAACTTGATTTCTATTCACTCTCTTTTTATTTCAAGCTATCAGTATCCTATTTTTTTAAAAAGTTTTAGTAATTCTTTGGTGCTCGACCGGAAGTGTCACTTTTGGGAATAGCAGAATTATGTGTGTCAAAACGCTGCTCGAACGTACTCCTAATGTTTGTATGCGCAATGAATTCTAGTTTGAATTCCCACTGTAAAACAGTTTCATCTACTTGTCGATGTTCATATTCGCTAAATAAGTGTTTTAAAACTATTTCAACTATTTCTGGATATGCACAACAACGACAGCATTGAGTAATTCAGATCACTACCAATTTTTTGTTTAAACAAAGTGCCTTGTATGGAAAGAACATATCAGAAGTAGGGCACATACAAATATATAAATGTATCTATACTGACAACTCGGTAACTCTAGTTGAATCAAAACATATCGAAAGTATTACAAATACAAATATATAAAATGTTTAATTCAGACTACATAATAGCAGTAATAGGATAAAACTCCGCAGGGACGCGACTTTCGGGGCCCCATCGCCAACGTGTCACACGTGTCTATTACTAGTTGAAGTTATTACAAGGGAACTTAATAAACCATACAACAATATCAATTTCAGGAAACTTTCGCAATTAATGTTAAATGCAAAATGACGGAAGTGATCTCAAGATGATATGTGTGTTCTTTCATAGTACAAAAGGGTAACTGCAATTACTGTTAATGCAAACAAGGAACAAATTGATCTTGCAAGGGCATGCATAGTGCTATGGGGAGGTAGATTCTGAAAGCAGATGTATATGGCAACCTTGACAAGTGCATTGCTGAGTAACTTAACATGTTCGATATATGCTAATTCCATAAATCAAATATTATGAACTAGGTAATTGCGGAAAATAGGGCAAAAAAACATTAGGTAAATGACCATACACTAGAAACCCCTCTAGTCAACTTTGTGACACCTAATTTATGTTATCACAGGAAACTTAATAAACCATACAACAAGATTGATTTCAGGAAGATATAGTATCCACATGAATCGGCAGAAGCATTAAACAAGAAGCCCTACTGAAGAATGACCAAAACCAGATAGGCAAACAAACGAACATACTAAGTTTTCTTGTAATAACCTGTCTGTGTGCACGCACACA